TTATATATATCATCTGAGTGGCTTTTAACCTTTGTCAATATTAGCTAAACTGATTTACTTTTGCAAACCTTCTTAATTGCATACAGAATATTATTGTTTTTATACTTTAACTACTCTTGTGTCTTCTCATTCTTAAGACACTTTTCAATTACAAAGATTGCACAAGTGCTATATATTCTTATTTCTACTTTGTATCTATCAGGGACTAACAAAACTGCTACTAAACAAGCTACTAGCTCTGCACGCATAGATGAGAACCAGTTTTCTATCCTTTTCTTATAACTAAAAACTATACTATTTGTACTATCTATTTGAACTATACTAAATCCTATCTTTGTTTTATTTCTGATATCTTCACTGAGTGAGCTATCTGTGTAAAAGACTATCTCTTTTTCTTCTCTATTTGCTTCTAGTCTCTTCTTTAGTTCTGCTCTGATTCTTGTATTCTGAATAACTTGATTAATTAGCTCTGCTTCTTAGCTGCTTTATACTTTGACTTGCTCTAGATTTTTGACTTTCTTAACTTCTTCTGCTTTGCTTTTTTGAGTCTCTTTTCCTATTTTTCCTAGGTACTTCCTATTGAATACTACTTCTGATATGTTATTTTTCTTTTATATGAAGCTTGAGATATTATGAATTTCTTTTAATACTACTCTTTGTTTTTAGCTATTTTTTCTCAATTTAATTCCTTCTCTGTATATTTCTTGTTGACTGCATCTTTCCTGCAAGTTTTCTTAGTCTTCTTCTCAAATTTTAATTTCTACAAGCTTTTTTTCTTTTCTAGTAATACAACTGATTTCATTTTTACTACCTTCTTTACCTTTTATAAGTACCTATTCTTTCTTCCTTTTGTCAGCTGAAATTTTCTCTTTAGTTTCTTGTACTTGAAATCTCTTTTTCTTTTGATATTCCTCCTTTACTTCTCTTGATTTCTTGTCTTCTAGGATTTCATTCTCTAAGGCTTGGAACTACTTTGCTTTTCTTCCAACATTTCTCTTTCCTTCTCTTACTTTGAGCTGTCTCTAAGTAATCATTCTTACTTATTTATTATCTAGTAGTTGATTTATATATTATAAATTAAGCCTGCTTATACCTTTTTGTGCTTCTTTTATGTTATATTTATTAAGGATATTGCTAATAAGACAATTTTTTCCCTCTTAAAGATTTATAAGGTTCTAGCTTACTGTAAAGTTATTTTTTGTGATACTTAGACTGTATTTTTTTGTATACTATATTATTGTGCTTCAAGGTTTCTATGCTTAGTCTTTTTCTAATTTGTATTTTCTGCTATAAGTATACACTCTGATATATTCATATCTAGTTGTGACTGCTTTAATCTCATTAATGTAGTTATATCTAAAATGCTATTTGTATTTATTCTTATAAAGAGCTCTGATATATAGTGCTCTATATGTTTTTGCTATAGGCTTACTACACCAAATATATCTCTATGCTAAAGAGTTGTATTCGCATATGTGAATAGAAGCTCTAATTTCTATTTAATTAGTCTGAGCATAAGCTGGTGTATAGTATTACATGATTTTTTTCTTAAGCAGATATTTGCAAGTAGATATTCAAGCTTTGGTAGCAATACCATATTGTTTATATATATATTTTTTTTTAATTCAGCAGTAATGCCAAGACTTTATTTAGATTTGCTTTCTGTTTGAAAACAACATTATTTAGCTATATACTATCTAATATCTAATTTTTTAAGCCCTAACTCACTCAGTTTTCCTGAAGATACCTATGTGCAATCTGCTATAGTAACCTTTGTTCTATACTAAGGTAGCTAAAAAATAATAGATTACAAAATAATAAGAAGGATCTACAGCTCATCATGACTAATTTTACATCTAGTTAGTTAAAATTCTCTCTTTTACTTCTCTTGCTATGCTATCTAATACTATTTTAAGACTAATATTACAACTTTCTGTATTCTTATCTAACCTGCAGTTTGTTTTTTTTTTGATGACTTTTCTTTTAGAATGTTTTTTCCTTTTCCTTCTGAGCGTATTTTTCTTTCTTGGAGATTTTTCTTTTTTCTCCTAAGCTTTCATATCTTTGTATCAGTTTTTCTAAACTTCCTTATATACTAGTTCTATTCAGATGTTCCAGAACAGGCTCTAGAATCTAGTTGTCATGCTTTCAGACCCGATGATATTTTTGATTCTTTTGGTATCTTTTTCGTATAGTATATCTCATAACCACTTTTTTCTCCTTTGTTGTTTCATTTTCTGTTCATATTAGATTACTTAAGCTATGCTCTTTAAATCTCAGCTTTCTTCTTCTCTTTTATCTTCATCAAGCTATTTTCATGCTTCATCTTCGATTTTTTCAAGTACTTAATAAGCTTTTTCATAGGTGACTAAGTGCTCAATCGCTTTTTTTTCCTTTAAACATCTTTTGTATAGGCTATCTTTATACAATTTCAGTTTTCTAAGATTTAGCATTTCTACTATTAGTAGAAGATTTTCGATGCATTTGATTTTGAACAATCGCAAATAGTTTACTTTAGTATTTTAGTATTGTTTGCGACAGCTTTTAAGTATACTCTTAAAAGCTTTTCAATTCAGTTTCTGAATTCTTGTTTGGTGTTCTGTATCATTTTTCTTTCTTAGCTAAGTCCATTCTGCCTTGTATATTGTTTGAACTATCTTTTTTTTTTTTTTGATTTTTACGCAAGAGTACATCTTTTTATTAAAGTTAAAAAAAATGTTTACAAATTGAAATTAATGAATTTTAAAGAGCTATAACTAGAAGGTTGCTTATTTTTAAGCGAAAGAGATTTTTGTATAACTTTGAGTTCTTTTTTGAATCTAATTTTAGTGACATTAGAGATTGCCTCTTCGCTAATAATTCTGTTGCTCCATTTGGCTTGTGTATACCAGCACCAGATTTCATAGGGTGTATTTATATGTATCCAGAGAGCAGATATGCGTTTAGGAATATCTTGAATATTTGTAGCTAGGATGATTTCTTCTAGTGAGGATAGGATGTTATCTCTCGATGAGATATCTAAAGCTTGATATGTTGTTTTCCATATTCTTTGACTAATTTCACATTCCAGAGCAAAGTGAAATAGTATTTGAGCAGTGTCAGGCCAGTTTGGGTAGCAGCCTGTATTATCTTTTGAAATATGTGCTAAGCGGTATCCAAGTAGTAGAGCTTTATGGATAAAGCACCAAAATATATCCTTCTTTTTGTTAAGAACCTTTTTAGTATAAAACCAGTTAAAGACTTTAGAGTCTTGTTCATATTCTTTGTTGCAGATAAGAGGAATACTGCTAGTAGTAGATTTGCAGTAGAGAGCTCTGACTGCTACTTTTACTGAGTAAGTTTCACTAGGGGTATCATTAATTTTAATGAGGTCTAAAGGCTAGAGCCAGCTTTGTGTTGAGTTTATTCATCTATTTAGTCTTTTCCAAGTATTTAAGTAAGGTTTCCAGTGATCAGGCCAACCTTTGAGCTTAATAGAGTCCAGAGTTAGAGTTTGGAAAGCTGGAATGCCTCTGTTGTTTTGAACTTTAAGAGTGGCTAAGATTCTTTCTGCTTTTGCTCAGAAGAATTCACTAGATATAAGTTAAGCCAGATAGAAGTTAGCCTAGCATCAAGCATATCTTTTAAGATTAGAGCTGAGAGGCCTCCATGTTCATAATTAAGCTGAAAAGTTGAGTATCGGGGAAGTAGCTTTGAGTTGTTCTTTGTCCAATTACTGATAAGAGTATTTATCATATTTAACTGTTTCCTGCTAGGTGGAAGAAGATAAGCTGCATACCAAATTTTGGAGATTAGAAGAGTCTTTGCTATTAGAATTTTGCCTTTAAATGATAGGTTTCTTGATAAAAGATTATGGATATTCTTTTTAATTTTTTCTGTAAAATTAAACTATAGATCTTTTCTGATGCTTCCTTTGATAGTTATCTTGAAGCCTAGGATCTTGAGATACTCATTGTCATTCTCAAGTATTTTGAAACTACTCATATCAGGGAGCTCTACTCAGCATGCATAGTCAGTGAGAGGAGCCAAAATCGACTTTGTTTTGTTAATTCTGGAGTTGGAAGTGAGCTCGTATTTTTGGAGTATGGTTTTAAGACTAGACCAATTAGAGAGAGATCCAATGCCTATTGTCAGATCATCTGCATAAGCTGCTACTTTGAATGGGAGGCCTTGAAGGTTTATGCTACTAATATTGTTGTGTATTGCTTGAATAAGTGAATTTATTGCTAGAATATAAAGTAGTGGTGAAAGTGGATCACCCTGTTTAACTCCTCTTTTGACCTTGAAAGATTCTGAGATTCTTCTTTGATCTGAAATATAGGCTAGTTGTGTTGTAAATAAATTGTTAACTATGTTAACTATTTTTGAGTTGAAGCTCATTTTCTCTAGTATGAGATTCATAAATTGATGGCTGATACGATCAAATGCTTTTTGTTGGTCAAGAAAAAAAAGCCAATGCTGTTTAGATTAGTTATTTTTATTTTTTAATACTGTTATGATATCAAGAGCGGAGTCCATAATTACCTGTTAGCAATAAAGGCTTGTTGTGAAGGATCAATAATTTCATTACAGATAGAGTTTAGTCAGTTGGCTAAGATTTTCATAAAAATCTTTGCATCACAGTTGATTAGTGAAATTGGCCTCCAGTTGCTAATATCTTTTAAATTATCAGACTTTTTTGGTATTAGTATGATAATGCTTTTACACCATGATTGGGAGCTAGCTTCAAAGTCAAGAATCTGATTAAACAGTTTTGCTAGGACTGAAGTAATTTTCTCTTTAGTATCCTTATAGAATTCGTAGGTAAGACCGTCGAGCTCTGGGGATTTGTTATTTGAAAGTGCATCAATAATTTTATTAATTTCATCTTCTGTTATAGTTCTGCTTAGAGCATTATTTTGGTCTAATGAGACTATAGGAAGGTTTTGTATCAGTTCTTTTGCTGCATTAAGATCGATTGAATCAGCCTTGTAGATATTCTGGTAGGAGTCTCTAATATATTACAGTGAGTTTGAGAGAGTTGGAGTACTGGTGCTATTTGGGTTTATAATTTTAGCACTGCATGAGGTAGAGTGTCTAGACTTATAAAGTGAGAAGAAGTATTTAGTAGATTTTTCGCCTTCTTCTATCTATTTGGCATTAGATCTTATTTGCCATTTTTCTGAGAGGAGAGTAAGCTCTTCTTGTAGTTGTAGTTTGAGATTCTCTGCTACACTTTGGAGATCTTTAAGAATTGAATTTTTGGCTATTCTGTTGTTGATTGTAGCTAATCATTTGTAAATAGTATCTATTGTTTTTTCTGGTGCTGGTTTTGGCTTGAAGGCTCTGCAGATTGATTGGAAGATAACCTTATGCGAGTCCCAGTTGTTAACATCTTGGATATTTTCTATTTCACTAAAAATTTCTGATTTGAGATTTGTGAAAGACCAGAGCTTTCTGTTAAATTTCTAGTAGGAACTATATGCAGGTTCTGAGTTGAAGACTATCTTACTTTCTACAAGAAGGTGATCAGAGTTTCCAAAACGAGTACAGGTGTTTTTGCAGAATTGGCTGTAATTAGAGTCAATGAAGATATAGTCCAATCGTGTGGCTATTCTTTGATTACCTAAGTAACTTGGTAAAAAGTTAGGAAAGGACCTGATCTTGTAGCTTTTGCAGTATTAGTAAAGTCTGATACAAGGTTTTTAAAAAGATCATTAGATGGGTCTCTTTGAGGATATGCTTAGCTGATTCAGTCTTTTTCTGGGTTAATATTGACATTAAAGTTACCTGCAATAATGTTGACTACCTCTTCATCTCTCAGAGGAGACCAGTTGTTAAAGAAGTCTCTTCTTTCATCCTGTCTTGGAGGGGCATAGACATTAGTCAGAAGGTAGTTGCAGTGTTTATATATAGTCTTTGCTAGGATTATTCGACCATCTTTGAGTACTTGTGAGTCAGAAAATTGAATTTTTTTGTTTCTAGCAAGAATAGCTGTTTTGGAAGACCAAATTGAGTCGTAGTTCCATTGATGTGCAAGAAAGTTTCTAGTTGATATATCTGTTAGGTTTGTTTCTTGTAAAAAGATAATATCTAGGTTGTATGATTTTAGAAGTGTGATTGTTCTTTGTGCTTTGGACTTATTGTTTAAGCCTTTGACGTTTAGTGTTGCTATTTTGATTTTGTTCATAAGAAAGAAGAAGTTTGTTAGGTTAGTCATTGAGTATTTTAATACTCTTGGTGACGACCACCTTTTGTTTTATTGTCTGATAACAGATCCCTTTTTCTCAAAGGTGCTGATGATCTGATATGATTTTGTTCCTTCTTGTTAGATTTGTTTTTGAGTATTTTCGTAGTGGTTGTTGTAGATATATTATCATCTGCACTGTTATTTTTATTTGTTTCCATAAAAACAGTATCCTGATCAGTATTAACCTTTTCGATCTCCATATTTGTAGAGGGAGATGAAGTTGTAGTCAATAGTTATTCTTGGATTTCTGAGTTGTTGCTTGTTAGAGGTAGGTTTTCTGTTGTTGGTTTTACATGAGGAAGCTCTTGACAGCAAATAGTAGTTGTGTTTGCTTCTGTAGTAAGAGGTTCATTATTATCTGTAACAGTTTCATTTGTTTCATTAGTATATGGGTTATTTGTACTGAAGGATAGGTTTGGGCTTGTAGTAGGTTTATTTCTTTGAGCCCTTTTTTCTTTGTGTAGACGTCTTAGCTCAATTGAGTATTTGAATTCTTCATAGTCTCTTTTCACATGCCCTTCTTTTTCATGGTAATAGCAGACTTTTGGAGCTTCTCTCCAGTCAGTAGTAACCTTGTGGTCTCCTACGTGAGTGGTTCTAGGTAGTCTTGTAGACAGGTCTGGGTCATCTGTTGTTTCAAAGGAGATGATCTATTGGTCTGAGCAAACAGAGGTATCTTCAAAGAGAAGAGGTTTAATTGAAGCAATTAATCCTAAATCTTGGAATGCTTCTCTTATAAGAGCACTTGTTTCATCTTTATCTTCCATTGGAATATTTCTAAGCTTAACTGAGAGGAACATATGTTTGAAGTTAAAAGGAATATAACCGAAGAGAGTTTGTTTAAAAAGATTAATTCCTTCTTCTTCATAGAATTTTTGCGAGTCTTTGTTATCAAATACAACTTCTAAGTGGACCCTTTTGCCCTTGATAATATGAGCTTTAGCTACTACTAGTTTATTTCCTAATTTTGTTGCAAGAGCTAAGATAATGTCATTAGTAGCGATGTTGCTTTGATTTTGAATATCAAAAATAAGAGTGTTCTCATTTTTGGAGTGAATTCTATGCCTAGAAAAGGATGGACAAAAGTTGCTTTGCCTCCTCTTAACTTAGTAAAGAGATCTGACCATTGCTTAGGCTTAGAGGAGTTGTTAATAGAAGTACTACTTTTTTGGTTATTTGTAGTAGTACTTGTATTTGATTGGAAGATGGTAGGCTCCTGAATTTCAGTTACGTATTTGTTGTTGAGGGACACATACAGTATTTGTTTTGATCATCTGTTTTCATCAAATTTTCTTTTGTTGTTTTTTCTTTGTTTACTGAAGGATCCTTTGTTTGCGTAGTAGGAAGGTTTTCTTTATTTTCAGAAGATATTTCTGTTTCAACCTTGTCAGCTCAGCTAGTAGTTTCTAGAGAGTTTTTGTTTGAGTTAGTTTCTAAGTTATCTTTTACTCTAGTATTAGACCTGTATTCTGTTTTGTCAGAAGTTTCTTCTTGGCTTGACGAAAGATTAAAGATTTTGTTTTTTATTTTTTGAGTTGACAGCTTAAGCTTTTTATTCCTAAGACTACTTATGTTGAAAGTTACAAGTTTTCTTTTCCCGTTTCTTGGGCTTGTTGCCCTAGAAGAGTATAATGTAGAAGAGTTTTTTATAGCATTATTCAAGTTTTGTTTTTTGTGCGTCCCTCGAAGTAAGGAGAAGCAGAGAGAGTTTTTTGAACTATCTTTTTAACAAAAGCTCTTAGTGGAGTTTCCAAACTAAGCTCCTTCCATTCAGAGATAAACTTTACATTATTGTTGCTAATATTGTTTAGCTCTATACAGTTTGCTTTATATATTCCTTCTTTTGCGAATAAGTCTGCAAAGTTATTATATATATCACTTGAATAGTTTTTAACCTTTGTTAGTATTAGCTAAACTGATTTATTTTTGCAAACCTTCTTAATTGCATGCAGAATATTATTGTCTTTATACTTTAACTACTTATGTATCTTCTCATTCTTGAGATACTTCTTGATTACAAAGATTGCGTAAGTACTATCCGTTCTTATTTCTACTTTGCATCTATTAGAAACTAACAAAACTGCTACTAAACAAGCTACTAGCTCTGCACATATAGATGAGAACCAGTTTTCTATCATTCCCTTATAACTAAAAATTATACTATTTGCACTATCTATTTGAACTATACTAAATCTTATCCTTGTCTTATTTCTGATATCTTCACCAAGTAAGCCATCTGTATAAAAGACTATTTCTTTTTCTTCTTTATTTGCTTCTAGTTTCTCCTTTAGTTTTGCTCTAATTCTTGTATTCCGAATAACCTGATTAATTAGCTCTGCTTCCTAGCTACTTTCTACTTCGACTCACTTTAGATTCTTAACTTTCTTAACTTTCTCTGCTTTGCTTTTTTGGGACTCTTTTCCTATTTTTCCTAGATACTTCCTATTGAATACTACTTCTGGTATGTTGTTTTTCTTTCATATAAAACTTGAGATATTGTAGATTTCTTTTAATACTACTCTTTGTTTTTGGCTATTTTTCCTCAATTTAATTCCTTCTCTATATACTTCTTGTTGACTGCATCCTTCCTACGAGTTTTTTTAGTCTTCTTTCTAAATCTCAATTTCTACAAGCTTCTTTTCCTTTCTGGTAATATGATCAATTTTACTTTCCCTACCTTCTTTACTTTTATGAGTACCTATTCTTTCTTCCTTTTGTTAGCTAAGATTTTCTCTTCAATTTCTTGTACTTGAAATCCCTTTCTCTTTTGATATTTCTTCTTTACTTCTCTTGATTTTTTGTCTTCTAGAATTTCATTCTCTAAGACTTGAAACCACTTTGCTTTTCTTCTAACATGTTTCTTTCCTTCTCTTACTTTAAGCTATCTTCAAGTAATCATTCTTACTTGTTTATTATCTAGTAGTTGATTTATGTACCATAAATTAAGCTTGCTTATACCTTCTTGTGCTTCTTTTATGTTGCATTTATTAAGAATATTGCTAATGAGACAGTTTTTTCTCTTTTGAAAATTTATAAGATTCTAGCTTGCCATAAATTCATTTTTTGTGATACTTAAACTGTATTTTTTTGCATACTATATTATTGTGGCTTTAAGGTTTCTATGCTTGGTCTTTTTCTAATTTGTATTTTCTGTTGTGAGTATACATTCCATCATATTTATATCTAGTTATGACTGCTTTAATCTTATTAACATAGTTATGTCTAAAATGCTATTTGTATTTATTCTTACAAAGAGCTTTGATATATGGTGTTCTATATGTTTTTGCTATAGGCTTATTACACCAAATATATCTCTATGCCAAAGAGTTGTATTTGCGCATATAGATAGGAGCTCCAATTTTCATTTAATTAGTCTGAGTATAGGCTAGTGTATAGTATCACATAATTTTTTCCTTAAGCAGATATTTGCAAGTAGATATTCAAGCTTTGGTAGCAATACCATATTGTTTATATATATTATCTGACTTGC